TTTTGACAAAAAAAATTGCTTTCAAAATTTTTAACGAAACACATTTGCATCGAAAATTTTCGACGAAAAATATTTCCGTCAAGTTTTTCGATAAAAAAATATTTCCAGCAAAATTTTCAACAAAACACATTTCTGTAAAAAATCTTGACAGAAAAAATATTCTGTCAAATTTTTTAACGAAACACATTTCCAATGAAAATTTTTCATAAAATGTTTTGACGGAAAATTTTTCTGTAAAAAATTTTGACGAAAAAAATTCGTCAAAATTCTTAACAGAATCCAAATTCCGTCAAAAGTTTTTGATGAAAATATTTTCGTCATACTTTTTGACGAAAAAAATTTCGATAAGATTTTTGACGAAACACATTTCTATCGAAAATTTTAGAAAAAAATTATTTTCGATAAAAAACATTTCTATCGAAATTTTCAATGGAACACATTTTCGTCAAAAAATTTCAACGGAAATTATTTCCATAAAAAAATTCGACGAAAAACATTTCTGTAAGATATTTTGAAAAAAAAAATATTCCGTCAAAATTCTTTGCAGAATCTAAATTCTGTCTAAAATTTCATAGAAACATTTCCCTCAAAATTTTTGAAAAAATATTTCTGTTGAAATTTTCATTGAGACACATTTTCATTGAAGATTTTGTACGGAAAATTTTTCGTCAAAATTTCTGAAGGAATTCTTTTTTCCATCAAAACTTTGGATGGAATTTTTTTTGTCAAAAATATTTAACAAATCATTTTTGTCAAAATTTTTGACTAAAACTAAATTCCGTGGAAAATTTTGACTGAAATTTTATTTTTGGAAAATTTTTCATCGGATAAAAATTCCATCGTCTTCGATGAAAAGTATTCCGACGGAAAAATATTTTTTTGACAGAATTTTTGCCGTTTTCAACGTAGGATTTTTGTTGAAAATATGATATTTTTTAGTAGTCTGAACAATACATAAATAATTTTGTTTAGCAATTTAAATTTTATTTTATTTGTGAAATATAATAATTATATTAATTTTAGTAAAAGGGTAAAATTGTAAAAATTTCTTATTGACCCTCCAATTTTCCTCTTACTATTTTTTTAACTTCCAAACAAGGAAAGAGAATACCATCCAATTTCCTTTCCTTCCTTCCCCTCCCTTCCCCTCCCCTCCAAACTCCCATACAAAGCCTAAGACAACCTTGATATAAAACAACTCTTATTTCCACAGTTATCTTGTTCGCCCTTCAGATGATGAAATTCACAAATCAAGCCGCACTTAAATTTTGAGCACACCAAGCATATATAGATTAGTCAGAAATTAAATCAACTATACTAACATTTCAGATCATTATACAATGGAAATATTCAAACCCAGTTGGAAAAACATCAAACTCTAACTTCTATGTTTTCCAAATCCCACCACCAGGGAACACACATGCATGTATCATGTACGTATATACTGATATAAGAGGCGCAAATTAAATTAATTACGTGCCAAAGGGGGCGGTGGTTGCTTGCTTGTGTAGGAGAATTTTTATTTTATTTTTTGTTAGAAATCTCAGCAGTACTACTCGTGCTTGAGGAACAATGCAAACCTAAGCGTAAAAGTAGATTAGGGTTAGGGTTCAAAGTTGATATGGAAGGAGCTCCAACCAAACATAATAATACATCAACCTTTTCGAGTGCTTCATTTCGAGGCGACACGAGCACTTTTCCGGCATTTCCTTCCATCTCTTAAAAATTCTCAAATTTTTCTTTCGATCCTCGTGTGCTCCTTTTTCCCTTAATGCCCTCGATATCTCAATGTAGTTACTAAAATATCTTCCTTCAAATCAACTCATTACCCAGTAATTTGTGAAATCACTTGAAACGACATGAAGGGTATTTTTGTAATAAAGGGAATAACATTCAATAGGACGGTCACACTGTGGTCAAAGTAATTTTCGTATTCATGTTTTTTAGCTCAGGCATGCAAACCGGATAATTGGCCATAGAGAACGCGAAGCAGCAAATGACAACTGACACGTGTCAATTACATTCCATTTGACCGCAGAACCTGAAATGGTGTGATGACCTGATTCAATAGTGTTGACTGGAAGTGGCCGTGGCGAATCAGCACCAACGCACCTCTTCATCTATTCTATTTACAGTATTCTCCTTGTTGATGTAATAGTTTTAAAGATTAGTTAAGGTTATGTATATATATACAGACAAAAGAGTTTTTGCCTTATTTACAAAAAAAAAAAAAAAAAAAAAGAGTTTTTGCCTTTCCACAGTTCCTTCAATATGTTTGTTCTTTTATCAATACATGCTTCTATGGTTTTGGATTGATGGTGTGTAGAAGTAGAAACCCTACCACTCTACTTTTTGTAGAGGTAGAAAAATTGAAAGGTGGAATCGAATGAAGCGATAGATGTGGGGTTTTGCTTCCTTATTGTGGTGCATTTCGGTCAAATTAGTATTTTGTTTATGTACAAGAATTTGGCGGGAAACGCGGGTCATCAACAATAACAGGTATTTGGAATTGTTTAATGTTTATTGACTCATTATTATTGCTGATACCATTATTTTATTAATAACTTTGCTGCAACAGTCTAACTAATGAGTTACTAATTTGGCTGGATTGCGTCCAATGCGTGTAACGACTTAAAATCAATATCTGGACCACTTAGTTTTTTTTTTTTTTTTTTTTTTATAATTTTTATGAATGATTCACTGGATTCTCTACAGACTAACTGTAAAAATTTTATATCTAGAAAATTGCAGGCTAAGCTGACAAAGTATATTTATCTACTCAAATGGAATCGTTCTGTTCTCTGTGTCACTTAGTCTCCATGGTGAAACATTTTAGAATTGTAGGATACGCATGCGTGGCATAAATGTGACCCATTGATCCTGAGAGCATGAGATTGACAATTCATATATGTCTACTTTCTTCAATGAAAATAATCTTTGTATATATCAGTGATGGAGCAAAGCAACTATTTTTTTTTTTTTTTTGTGGCAACTAAACAACTGTTAGTGTACTAATATGAATTAAATTGAATTGTAAAATTCTTAAATTTGAGGAAATATAAGCTTAGAGACATGTACTGTAACGTATATAATAAAAAAGAATTACGAACTATTGTGTTTAGGTTGCTATATATGTACACGCTGCATGGATAATATCTTATTCTTATTACTAGTTACCAAAAAGCCTTTCACAACAGGTACGTGTATCTGTCACTACAAGAAAATATCTTATTAGTGACGAAATTTTATGAAATTTCGTCATAATTAAATTCCTACGTCGCAAGTAAATTTCGTCACAAATTCTTGCGTCGCTAGTTTATTTGAGACGAAAGTTGATTATTTATGTCGAAAATTATCATTTGTAACAAAATTTATGACAAAATTTTTCATCACAAATAAACTTTTTTCTTGTATATTTTCATGTAGCGTACTTTTTGTGCTGAAATTGCGGGATGTTATGGGATCCAAGCCTAGCTCGAAACTTTGTCCCACTAGACATTAACTAGCTAGTTGAGCATTCCATAAATTATTGAGCAATAACTTAATTGAACTGTACACCAAACATAGACATTCCATAAAATATGAGTTTCGTGCCATGTTCTGTAATCATTTCATTCGGATATTGATGAAGATGCATTCGGTCAGAAATGGTTTGAGTAGGGCAAATTAAGTCACTGCCTGTTGATGATGGTTAACAACAAGATCTTTATATATTTGTGTATTCTAGATATGGGTCTCATAGGATGAACCTCAACCAATTAAAGAAGAATACAAGTTTCTAGTTCTAACGTGGGTATGGGTGGGACATGAACCTTTTCTTTATATTACTATTACTATTTTTATTTTTATTTTTGATAGTTTACTATTAATATTTTTAATTTAAACCTATTTCAAGCTAGTGGCCTTTTGACTGGTGCGGAAACCGATCTAGTATGGTCAACAGATTTTTGCTTTGGGGAACAAACGAAATCCTTCAAATTATTTTTCTTAATTAGTATTCACGTTAATTAATTAATTAATTAATATTAATATGAAACAAAGCTTGGTCATATTTTGAACAAGAGTAATTCTTAATCTTCCTTTTAGTACTTTTAATATTTAATATGTCGGATTTTTCTTATATAATATTGCATGTCCGTTCAAATGCATCTTTAACACATGCAGGACACGGAGATCCACATATTGGGTTCCCTTTGGTAAATGTAAATACCAATTAATTTGATGATCATCTTCCACTCTCTCTTTTTTTTTTTTTTTTTTCAATTGAGGTATTTATCTTGTAGCTAGTTTCATAAATTTTGTTTGTAGATCATAGAATAGAGAGGTCCGTAGTCTAACTTTACGTAGAGTCGTCGATCTTGAGACTAAGAGAGATGATTTGCGGAGTGTGGGAATGCTGGGCTTTCAGGAGTCATTAATTTCAAAGAACGAGGACGAGAGTTCCAATAAACCAAGTGGGTAGAGAGAGAGAGAGAGAACGGGGTGTTATTTTTCCAATTAGAATGGTGGGTTTGTCTATGTACAAAGACTAATTAAGAAGAGAGATGAAGTAGTAGTTTAGTAGTATAAACACTCGTGTCCTCTATAATATCCTATATATGCAGATAATATTTTTTAATAACGAGTGTAGGTAGATTATAACTTTGTTTTCTTGTGTTGGAAAAGGTCAGGGTCTACAGAAATGACCTTCCAAAGAGGGGTGAGACAGACACATCTCATTTGATTTAATTTTAGAGAAAGGGCGAGGGGTGCACTTTTAATATTATGTGCCTTCCTCAAAATGTTTTCTTTTTCAGCCCTTCTTCCTCCCTTTATCTTAAGCTAGAAAGTAGAAAGGTTGGGAGAGAGATACAAAAGAGTTCACTCCCTTTCAAACCCTAACTATTATTCTGCTCATCACTTGCTCTTCCTCAAAATTTCTTAATTACTTCATATTTATCTCTCTTTCTCATTCTATGTTTGTGGATTTAATTTGTTGAAGGGCAAAGGAAACGAATTATATGGGCTCAATGAACACAAACAACTGGCTTTCGTTTCCACTTTCTCCAACTCATTCTTCCTTACCAGCTCATATCCAAGAAACTCAATCTCATCAGTTTTCTCTTGGGACATTAGTCAATGAGAACATGGAAAGCTCTTTTCAAAATCACGGTAACCTCTCGTCCAGTGTTTGTCTCTTTCTGTATTTGACTAGTTGCAATCTATTCTCTCTAAACTAAATATATTTGGGTGATTATTTAATTCAACTGCGCAGATTGGAATCTGATTAATACTCACAGCAGCAACGAAGTTCCGAAGGTAGCAGATTTTCTTGGTGTGAGCAAGTCTGAAAATCAGTCAGATCTAGCAGCCTTTAATGAGATTCAGTCAAATGATTCAGATCATTACATGTTCACGACCAACAGTCTTGTGCCGATGCAAAACTCGGTGGTACCCACTTCAAGCAATTATGAGTATCAAGAAAATGCTAACAATAATCTGCAGTCATTGACATTGTCCATGGGAAGTGGTAAGGGTTCAACATGCGAAACCACCAGCGGTGATAATAGTACAAACAGTACTACTGTTGAAGCTGCACCTAGAAGAGCATTGGATACCTTTGGGCAGAGAACATCAATATATCGCGGTGTGACTAGGTTGATGTTTGGAAGAGCACACTATAATATGTTTGATTGAATATTCATTTTATTTTCTTGTATAAATTTTCATACGGGTACTAAAATAGTAAAGTATTTTATTTTTGCCCTTATTTATAGACATAGATGGACTGGAAGGTATGAAGCACACCTTTGGGATAATAGCTGTCGAAGGGAAGGACAATCAAGAAAAGGTCGCCAAGGTAAACTTCAAATTATAGGTTTTCTTCCTTATTTTCTTTTTCTTCCGAATCAACGTTTACTAACACTTCTATTTTTATTTTTTTCTTTTAATTTGGGCTTCTATTTCTTATTTCCATCAGTCTATTTGGGTAAGTGTCTCTTTCTTTGGAATTATTTTCCAGTCCCCTTTTATTTTTATTTTTCCCCCTTCATGATTAATGGAATAGAGAAATTAATCCACAATTAATAAATATTCATTTCATTTTATGCTAGGTGGGTATGACAAGGAAGAGAAAGCAGCGAGATCTTATGATTTAGCTGCACTGAAGTATTGGGGTACATCCACCACTACCAACTTTCCCGTAAGTTGATGCGGTTATATTATAGTTTGGCCAAGGTACGTTGCCAGATTCAGGTAATTCGAAATCATTATTTATGTTGTGTTGCAGATCAGTAACTATGAGAAGGAACTGGAAGAAATGAAGCACATGACAAGGCAAGAATTTGTGGCCTCCATAAGAAGGTAATTAATTAATCAAGAGAGCTATCTAGCACGTTTGAGTTAATAGTTTGCCGCATACTAATTATGGTGTTGTCAAAACTACGTTTTGTAAATTAACTAGTATAGGATATATATTTTTGAACGTAATACTTTGCGGCTCATATAGTTCAATTTCCTCTCCTCATAAATTGCAGGAAGAGCAGTGGATTCTCGAGGGGTGCATCAATGTATCGCGGAGTCACAAGGTAGTTATTAGAATGTCAATTATTTTTATCTTTATTTTTTCTTGGTAGTTATTAGAATATTAATTATTTATGATTGTTTTTAGGCATCATCAACACGGAAGATGGCAAGCGAGGATAGGAAGAGTAGCGGGAAACAAAGATCTTTACTTGGGAACTTTCAGTAAGCTAAAATATTGAAGCTTCATGCACAAACAGCTAAACTAATTATTAAGGAATAATAATATATAGAAAGAAACAACTCTTGTTTGAATTATAGGTACCGAGGAAGAGGCAGCGGAAGCATACGACATAGCAGCGATAAAGTTCAGAGGTCTGAACGCAGTTACTAACTTTGACATGAATCGTTACGATGTGAAAGCCATTCTTGAAAGCAACACTCTCCCAATAGGAGGAGGAGCTGCTAAGAGACTAAAAGAGGCTCAAGCTTTGGAATCTTCGAGAAAAAGGGAAGAGATGTTAGCACTTGGGAACAGCTTTCAATATGGAAGCTCAAGCTCAAACTCAAGCTCAAGCAGGCTACAAGGTTATCCTCTAATGCAAATGCAGCATCAGTTTGATCAACCTCAACCTTTGCTAACACTACAAAACCAAGACATATCTCAGTACAGTCAAGACCCTACGTCGTCGTTTCATCAGAGTTATATCCAAACCCAGCTTCAGTTGCAGCAGCAAAGTGGCTCATATATTCACCACCAATCAGCGCCTCAGAATATCAATGGTCAGTTCTACAATAGCTACCTTCAGAACCACCCGGCTTTGCTTCAGGGGTTGATGAACATTGGCTCTTCTTCTTCTTCTTCTTCTTCTTCTTCAACTGTGATGGAGAATAATAGTGGAGGCTTTATGTTCATGGGGAATAATAATGGCCTTGGCATGGCTTCGAATTCTTCTTCGAGTAACGCAGTGGGATCATCGGAAGAGATTGCGCTTGTTAAGGTTGATTACGACATGCCTTCCGGTGGTTATGGCGGCTGGTCGGCGGCGGAGGACACCATGCAGGCTTCAAATGCTGGTGTTGGTCTTTTTACAATGTGGAATGATTGAGTCTCCCGAGGGGAGGGGACCCTAGCTAACCAGTATGGCAAAACAAGTTACGATACATTTTTCTTGTTTTTTTCTTTGTTTTTTTATTTTTTTTAATTCTGCTAATATCACAAGTGAACGTCTAAGAAAAGAGAAAATAATTTGTCTATCTAGTTTGGAAATCAAAGGAATGGATTGGGATTAACGCACTGTCTAATCGGGTGGCTTAAAATTAAGGTTTTCACTAAGCAAGCTCTAGGTGTTAGCTCCTTACACAATACATTTATCAGAGCTCTTTCGTCAAGGACTCTTCCTGATTCCTTTTCTTGCTTCTGAGTTTAAAAAAAATGAAGGAAGGGAATTGGAGATTTTTGCAAAATCCTCCAAAACCCTTTTCACCCTTAAAATAAAAAGTTCCCCAATTTGGAGGATTTAAGGGAGGAAATTTTGAAAATTACTTATCTACCATTAGCTTTAAAATGTAAAAATTACATAAAGGTGAATCATTTTTAAAACATGACGTTATTATAAAAGTCTTAAATACCGACAGAATTTATCGACGAAGAATCTAAATTTCGTTGAAACTTTCAACAGAAATATTTCCGTCAAACTTTTCAAGTTAAAATATTTAAGATGAATTTTTTTGATAAAAAACAATTCTGTAAATTTTTTTGTCGGAAAACATTGCTGTCAAATTTTTTTATGGAAAACATTTTCATCAAAATTTTCGACAGAACATATTTCCAGCAAAAATTTGTGACGAAATTATTTTTTTCAATATTTCCCTCAAAATATTTGACTAAACAACATATTCGTCGAAATTTTAGACAAAGAATATTTTCTAAAAACTTTTAACGAAACACATTTTCAATGAAAACTTTTAGTAAATTTTTTGACAAAAAACATTTATGTAACAAATTTTAACGGAAAAAAAATTCGTCAAAATTCTTTACCGAATCTAAATTCTGTGAAAAAAATATGACGAAAATATTATCGTCGTACTTTTTGACGAATAAAATTTCCGTCGAAATTTTCGACGAAACACATTTCCATAAAAAAAATTCAAAGGAAAATATTTTCGGCAAAATTTTCGATAAAAATTATTTCTATCAAAATTTAGAACAGAATTACGGAGGCTTTTTCACCCTTTTTCCCCTCATTAATTATTTAATAACCATTTTTCCCCTTACTCAGAACTATCTACCAATCTGCCCCTCTTTAATCGATTAAGCCAAAAATTTAATCGATTAAATGATCAAAATAGGCAAAAATCGTTGACTTGAAGATTTAATCGATTAAATCTCCCTATTTATTCGATTAAACCTCCCATACATAAGGTTGTTCTTCTGATAAAGAAGAAGATTTAATCGATTAAGTTGAAGATTTAATCGATTAAATCTTCATTTGACAATTTAATCGATTAAATATTCAATTTAATCGATTAAAGAGGGGCAGATTGGTAGATAGTTTTCAATAAGGGGCAAAATAGTTATTAAATAATTAATGAGGGGAAAAAGGGTGAAAAAGCCGAATTACGGAACACTTTTCTATAAAAAATTGTCGATGGAAAATATTCCGTCAAAATTCGTTTTGGAATCTAAATTCTTTCGAAAGTTTCACATAAATATTTCCCTAAAAAATTTTGACAAAAAATTTCTGTCTAAATTTTCATTGGGACACATTTTCATCGAAAATTGTGGACAAAAAATATTCCATCAAAACTTTTGATGGAATTTTTTCGTCGAAAATATTGAACAAATCATTTTCGTCAAAACTTTTGACAGAAAGTAAATTTGGTCGAAAATTTTGACAGAAAATTTATTTTTGTAAAAAATTTTATCGAATAAAAATTTCGTCACCTTTCGATGAAAAGTATTCCGACGGAAAAATATTTTTTTGACGGAATTTTTGTTATTTGCAACGTAGAATTTTCGTCGAAAATATAATCTTTTTTAGTAGTGTGAAAAATACATAAATACTTTTGTTTATAAATTTTAAATTTAATTTTATTTGTAAAATATAATAATTATATTAATTTTTAGAAAAGGGTGAAATTGTAAAAATATCTTATTAGTTCTCTAATTTCTCCCTTACCATTCGTTAACTCCCAAACAAGGGAAAGAAATACCCTTCAATTACCTTCCCTTCCTTCCCCTCCCTTCCCCTTAGAATCATTTCCTTTCCTTCCCCTACAAACTCCCAATCAAAGCCTTTGAGGTCAAAGATGGAAGACATCGTCACTCATGATAGTAACATGTTCAAACTCATTGCAAAGAACTACTCGTACTAAAAACCCATGATAGAGGATTGTTAACTCTCCAAAGAGAGTTAATTTTGGGTTTTTAATTGATGATTCAATTCGTAATATGCTATGTAATTCCTTCGTAATCATGATGTAATTACATTATTCTTATCTTCGTATGTTTTGAACACTGATTAATATCTTAAATGTTAAGATTTGAGTTGATTCTGATGTTGCAGCATTTAACTGGCTGTAAGTTTTTGATACAGGTCATTGTCGTAGCAATATTATAACACTGAAGTGATTAATGAAATGTTTCATCTTGATGTTGCAGTAGAACAGATAAGAGGATAAGTAACTGAAGTTCAAATTCAAAAAGAAGATAAGATGCAACAAAACAAGATAAGAAATAATAAGGTTGAAGATATGAAGAGATAAACATCCATCTTAAAAATTCTTATATCCAACAATCAAAATTGAAAATTCAAGCTTAAAGATAATTCTAGATCAAAATTAAAGGATGTCATTCTAGAAGGAAATTGAATTCAAACCTTAATTTGGAATCCAAGTCACTCACATTTATAAATTAATAAATATAGAAACACCCTGCAAAGCATCTAATTGAGAAACATCTAATGAATTAAAGGGTGATAGTAGCTCTAATAAAGACATCAATGGTTCTGATTTATCCAGAGTGGAGTTGCTGAAGAAGCCCAAATATGGTGGAGAATAGTGGCACATGGGATAGTTGTGACAATAGTGCTACAACATCATTTTTGTTCATTTTTATTTATGTTTCTATGAGTCTTTTCTTGTTTCTTTTTTTAAGTATGAGCTAAAATTTCTATGATTAGGTGATAGAATACCCGTATTGTAATGAAGCCATGAATTCCTAAGCTCTACTTTAGTTATTTTCAAATACTTGTTTAATAAAGTTCTTTCGGTTACGAGTTCGGCAAGTGCTCCAGTAGTAAAAGTATTAAAGCGTACTGGGTACGAGATAGATCTCATGAGGATTAGAATTTCAATCACCAGTCCACTATTTAAGCTTTATTTGGATAATCAATCATGAAAGTTATATGAAAATCAAACTTAATAACAAAGCAAGAAAGTAAACTAAGTAAAAACGTAAGAAGGCAAAATATGAGTTGTTTAACAATCAAGAAAGTGTAGTTAGGATTTTGATTTCCCTTAATTTTCCTTTTATGGTATGAATTAAAACACTTAATTAATCGCCATTTTTATATTGCCAATCAATTTCCCTAAATTAATTAGAACTCAATCCCTTGACATCATAATTCTTCATTATCTTGAAAGAACCCTAGTTCCCCAGCTATTCCTCAAGAAAATAAGCATTAAACACAAGAATCACAAGATTACATAAAACCCTATATGTCTATCCCTAGAATCATAAGGATTATGATGAATTTATCATGCATGCATCATGTACCAACATTCTTATTATCATACAATCACCCTAAATCATTCTACAATATCAAACTTATATAAAGCATTAAGAGAAGATAAATTCATTCAATTATAAAAAAGAAAAATTACATTAAAGATTCAATTCATAAACATAAAGGTTCAATTGGGATCCATCTAGCCCTAATACAAAGAAATCTACTCTAGCATTGTGGAATCCAAAACACAAGAAAACATAAAAATTTCCTCAAACTCCTTTGGTGTGATGGTGCAGAGAATCTTCAAGGTTTCCAACGTATTCTTGAATCTAACCCGTCTTCGGTGCTCCAAAGCATGAAGAACTCTCTTCTATGATCAAAAGGAGACTTTAGCCGTCAAGAGTTTTCAATTATTTCTAAAAATTCCATTTTATAAGGTGTAGAACTTGCGCCCTTAATAATATCAACGTAATAAGCCTTAGTTGGGTCGTAAGAGGGCACTAAAGCGCGATAAAGCACGCTGGGAATATGTTGCAAAACTGGATGAGAGCACTAAAGCACACTCTTTGAAAGGAAAGTTCTTCATGATAGAGTACGTTAATGCGCTCCCACCGAAGCTCTTATTCAATTCTGAGTATCTAGCTCGCGTGGGGGCGCTAAAGCTCTCTCTCTTCAAGTACTGAACTTGCTTCTAAGACGGCTTATTCATTGATCTTCAATTTCATGCTCCAAGTTCTTTAGGTTCATCCTTACTCCAATCTATATCAATTTACCTTCAAAACAAGCAAGAATCATTAATGTTAATTTATAATTCAAATTTCATGCTTTTTAACTAAGTATCCCTAAATTCTCATGCTTTTGACTAAATAATTATATGGATTTAGTCCTTAAAACATGATAAACTATAGGTTATCACTTTCTTTTTAATCTTGTTAACTCATAAACAAGGAGTGGACATATGTCTTAAGATTTAGGATATAAACATATATGTATATCTGAAACCTTATTAGGCAATGTGAATTATTCAGGTTAAATAAATCTAGTTAAGTTGTAGATACAAACATGGTTCACACCACATAACTATATAGAATTTGTTCATAATTGAATTCAGTAATTAACTTTGCACAGACATATAATGATTAATTGTATGGTTGGTGGCAGTCCCTGATATGTTTCTAATATATCATGTATTAAGGGTCGAAACGAGCACGAATCTAATCAAAAGACATGGAAATTGTGAGTAAATTGTTAATATACTCTCAAGCTTATTTTCATGAAAGTCTTGTGTTACTGTAGGGACTTTGACCCATTGAATGAAGGACAAGTTAGGAAACTCAGAGTGAAGTCAAAAAAGCAAGAAAATGACTGAGTCATCT